CTCTGCCTGAAATACTCTCCCCCCAGATCTCTGCATTTGCTCAGATGTCTTCTCCTCATGAGACCTACCTGACTGACATTGCCAGCTACCACCATTTCTGATGTCCTACACTGTGCTTTTCATTTGAAACACACAGTTTATTTTTTTTATTAAGGTATCATTGATATACAATCTTTAAAGATTTCATATGAGCAACACTGTGGTTATTACATTCACCCATATTACCAAGTAACTCCACAAACCCTATTGCAGTGACTGTCCATAAACATAGTAAGATGCTATAGAGTCACTACTTATCTTCTCCGTGCTATACTGCCTTCCCCATGATCCCCCTACATTATGTGTGCTAATCATAATGCACCTTAATCCCGTTGTCCCTCCCTTCCAATCCAGCCTCCCCCACTCCTTCCCTTTGGTAACCACTGTTCCCTTCTTGGAATCTGTGCATCTGCTGCTTTTTTGTTCCTTCAGTTTTGCTTCGTTGTTATACTTCACAAATGAGGGAAATCATTTGGTACTTGTCTTTCTCCGCTTGGCTTTTTTCACTGAGCATAATACCCTCTAGCTTCATCCATGTTGTTCCAAATGGTAGTATTTGTTTTTTTCTTACAGCTGAATAATATTCCATTGTGTATATGCACCACATCTTCTTTATCCATTCATCTACTGACGGACACTTAGGTTGCTTCCATATCTTGCCTACTGTAAATAATGCTACAGTAAGTATAGGAGTGTATATGTCTTTTTGAATCTGGGATCTTATTTTCTTCATGTAAATTCCTAGGAGTGGAATTACTAGGTCAAATGGTATTTCTATTTTTAGTTTTTTTGAGGAACCTCCATATTGTTTCTGTAATGGTTGAACTAATTTACATTCCCACCAGCAGTGTAGGAGGGCTTTACTTTCTCCACATCCTTGCCAGCATTTGTTGTTGCTTGTCTTTTGGATGTTGAACATCCTATCTGGTGTGAGGTGTTATTGTGGTTTTAATTTGCATTTCCCTTATAATTAGTGATGTGGAGCATCTTTTCATGTGCCTATTGGCCATCTGAATTTCTTCTTTGGAGAAGTGTCTGTTCATATGCTCTGCCCATTTAATTATGTTATTCGCTTTTTGTGTGTTGAGGCATGTGAGTTCTTTATATATTTTGGATGTTAACCCCTTATCGGATATGTTGCTTATGAATATATTCTCCCATATTGTAGGATGCCTTTTTGTTCTACTGATGGTGTCCTTTGCCCTACAGAAGCTTTTTAGTTTCTTGTAGTCCCATTTGTTCATTTTTGCTTTGTTTTCCCTTGCCTGTGGAAATGCATTCAGGAAAAAATTGCACATGTTTATGTTCAAGAGATTTTTGCCTGTTTTCTTCTAAGAGTTTTATAGTTTCATGACTTACATTCAGGTCTTTGATCCATTTTGAGTTTACTTTTGTGTATTGAGTTAGACACAATAGTCCAGTTTCATTCTCTTACATGTAGCTGTCCAGTTTTGCCAACACCAGTTTGTATATCCATGACTCCTTTATTGTATATTAATTGGCCGTATATGTTTGGATTTATATCAGGGCTCTCTAGTCTGTTCTATTGATCTATGGGTCTGTTCTTGTGCCAGTACCAAATTGTCTTGATTACTGTGGCTTTGTAGTGGACTTTGAAGTTGGGGAGCATAATCCCCCCAGCTCTATTCTTCCTTCTCAGGATTGCTTTGGCTATTCAGAGTCTTTTGTGGTTCCATATGAATTTTAGAACTATTTGTTCTAGTTCATTGAAGAATGCTATTGATATTTTGGTAGGTATTGCATTGAATCTGTAGATTCCTTTAGGCAGGATGGCCATTTTGACAATATTAATTCTTCCTATCCATGAGCACGGGATGTATTAACATTTATTGGTGTCTTCTTTTATTTCTCTCAGGAGTGTCTTGTAGTTTTCAGGGTAGAGGTCTTTCACCTCCTTGGTTAGGTTTATTCCTAGGTATTTTATTCTTTTTGATGCAATTGTGAATGGAATTGTTTCCTGATTTCTCTTTCTGCTAGTTCATCATTAGTATATAGGAATGCAATAGATTTCTGTGTATTGATTTTGTATCCTGCAACTTTGCTGAATTCAGTTACTAGTTCTAGTAGTTTTGGGGTAGATTCTTCAGGGTTTTTTATGTACAATATCATGTTCATCTGCAAACAGTGACAGTTTAACTTCTTCCTTACCAATCTGGATGCCTTTTATTTCTTTATGTTGTCTGATTGCCGTGGCTAGGACCTCTAGTACTATGTTGAATAAAAGTGGGGAGAGTGGGCATCCTTGTCTTGTTCCTGATTTTAGAGGAAAAACTTTTAGCTTTTCACTGGTAAGTATGATGTTGGCTTTGGGTTTGTCATATATGGCCTTTATTATGTTGAGGTTCTTGCCCTCTCAACCTATTTTGTTGAGAGTTTTTATCATGAATCAATGTTGAATTTTATCAAATGCTTTTTCAGCATCTATTGAGATGATCATGTGACTTCTACCCTTTTCTTGTTGATGTGGTGGATGATATTGATGGTGAAATGTACAGTTTCTATCATTTGTATTTAGTGTTTATCATCTCCCTAATGCCAGATTATAAACTCCATGAGGACAGAAATTTTGTAGTTTTCATCACTGATACATGTAAAGTACCTAGAGTAGTACTTGGTGTATGGTATAAATCATTTGATGAGAGAACAAATGAGGGGTCAATTCTAGTTTCATGTTAGTGTTGCATTTGATTTTAAGCAAAAAAGATGAAAACTGTTCTTCACATTTGTATTTGAATGGGTTTAATCTGTGAGATACAGGCTTGAAGTTATCATAGCTTGCATTTAATTCAGTTGCTTTTATGATACATAATAATGATAAAATAATTGTTTGAATATTTCTAAGTCAAAGTGAGATCTAGATATCCTTTCTTTCTAAAATGAACATATTAAGTAAATCTGTTTACTTTCACTTTCTTTGGTACCTGGCCTATTGGTTTATGAATCAGCAGAAGGTCATGAACTTTTAATATGAGAAATTCATCTCTCTTGAGCATAGACTATATTTTTCTAGTATATTCCCAGTAGCCTAAATTACAGATGAATTATTTTGTGTTTCTATAGTACTTTTTCCTGACTCTTATTTAGTCATTGTCTCTGCAGGTTCACTTCTCCAAAACTAACTTCTAAAGTATACTCTAGTAATCTGCACAACCTATAAATTGTTTAAAGATTGGTGATAGTGATCCCCCTTCTTTAGTACATAAAGTAGCAAACATATGAGATAGATGTATATAATGTCTGAAGATATTCAATGTATGTTAAAGTTAAAAATGCAATCTCAGAACCATATGAAGGGTATTTTTCCAATTAATGAAAAGGAGTAAATCACCAAAACTACAAATGTTTGTATGTATGCATAGTTTGTTGATATAGACATAGGTGTAGAAGAATAAATACACTGAGCTATTAATGCTGGGTACCTGTAGGGGAGGGCCCAGGGTTGGCAGAGACAGGAGGGGGGCTTCTCTTTTTTGCTCTTTGTATTTGTGTATCTCCCAGTGAGATTGTATTCACTTACTGTATAATTTTTAACAGAAATAAATCTATGCAGGATAAACTGCTCATCACTCAGTTTCTTTTTCTTTTTCTTTAGTCATCTGCTTTCTTCTCTGTACCAACCTATCTTTGTTGGATGGGCTGGGCTTTCTGTGCAATTCTACACATTGAAAAATAGAAGTGCTTTGGTGGACAACCAATGGCTCTTTAAGTGACTGTTCTGTATTTCCTGTCATTATGATGGATTAGTTACATGCTAAATGTGAGTACTTTTTCTCCTATAGGTGATATTTTTAGCTGCCATGCAGTTGACAATCCCAAACCCCACTCAGAGCTTGAAATGCTTACGCAGTATGGACCAAATGTGCCCAACCCCATCCTTCAGAAGCTCGTGGCTGCCTTTGGAGAGCTGAGGAATTTAGCTGACCAAGGGATTATTAACTATCCATATTCCACCAGAGAAGTTGTCAACATAGTGAAGCATTTACAGGTGTGTCATGCCCCTATGTGTAAAGGTTTAAGATAAGCCATTATTCTTGCTTTTTTAGAATGTTTAATTTACACCAAGTCTTTCCATTTCTATAAGTACAATACTGATGCAGATGATATAATATGAAGTGTTCGTGAACTAAATTTTGAATCTGGGATACCAGTGAACATTTTGTGTTTCGCCTTTGAATTGACTATGGCAAGGTTCTGTGCCATGGCCATTACTAAGTCGCTAGGAAATTTGGCAGAGGTTTTTTAGGGGGATGGGAGAAGACAAGAGAGGGAGACAGCAGGGAAAGTTTACTACTATTTGACTTTATGCTACAAGCCTGTGGTATCTGAGTGAAAAATATTTTCATTTTGAAAACAAAAGACTTGGAGATAGAAGACTAGGAACTAACAGCATTGATTATATACTTATAAATTCTGCAAGAAAGTTTTATAAGATAGAATAAGTCAGCAGGAGAATGAAATTCCTTATAGCCATATGTAGTCAACCTTGGTAAAAGAAATTTAAAAACCCATTAAATTCTACTTTCATAAGAAGTAATGGTCTCCTGGCTATCAGTCAAAACCTAATGACTCACCGCTGCCCCATCCCCAACCCTCCAAGGAAAACCTAGAATGGAAAATAGAAAACTTTATTCTGCCTACAAACCCACGGTAAGTCCAGCTCAGATCCCAGTGCCTGAAGAAAATCCAAACAGAGTCAGTAAAGGCCGTGAGGACACCACCAGGATACAGCTAGCTGTTAGGAGTGTTTGTTTTCTTTCCCTCTGCTGTTCCCTATTTCTTTATCTCTGTGCTTTTTATCTTCTTCCCTTCTTTTCTTGCTCTTCTGTGTCTTTTTTTCATCTATTCATAGATCTGTGACTTCTCTAAATACTTTTATTCAGGTATTCTACACTCTACTTTATTTAAATAGTGTTTTTTAAGTTGGTCAATCTGGTACTTACATTAAAAGCAGGAGATTTCAGAAAGCCAGAGTCACTGAACACCAGGACCTGATCCTCTTTAAGAGAATTGTTCTTCCTCCAAAAGGAAAACATTAAATCATCAGAGAAAACACTAAAAAAGGAACTGTACATAAATTCCTCCTATCTTTTTATCTGATATGGCTAGTAAATGGCTGCTAACATTCATTTGATCATTATTGTTCTATTAGTTTTATAAATCATTATAATATTGTATATTTTATCACATGCATAACAAGGGAATTTTTTTTATACAGAAATTTCCCGCTGAAGGTCTCGCCACTGTGGTTAGGAATGTGTTTGACTTTGATTCCTACAACAATGACATGAGGGAGATTTTGATTAACACTTTACACAAACATGGAATACCTATCGGAGCGAAGCCTACCAGTGTGCAGCTGGCGAAGGAGTAAGGCAAACTCACAACTGATAAAATATTCTTGAGTATTTCCATTCTGATTCTTAAATGCTGATAATTCTGAGTCTTCCTGTTATACTTTACTAAACTGAGTTGGTGTGGAAATTCCTTTCCACAAGTAAGCTTTTCAAACATGCGTTGCTATTTGCTGGCTGGATTTCAGTCAAATAGCATTCTTTGTAGGCCTGTAAATTGAGAATTTCAATTATTTTGATTGTCCCATGAGTAGATGTAATATAATCAAATAAAGGGAAATATTTGTTTCTTGAACAGTCTCTGTCCTTTTGTTGAATTACTATGACTGTCATTATTTCCTAATCTAGTGCAAAATCATTGTACAAACACGAAAACTACATAAAGGGATAATATGTACTTGGTTAAGATGTTCTTATTTATTAAGATGATAGTTTTCTGAATTTATAGTCATTTTAACTTAAGAGATTTTGGTTGCTTATTTCAGCTTGACAGATGAAAGAGGTAGTGAAGACAAATGGATTTTCATCATGTGGGCCGGCTGCCTGCCTTTTATTTTGTAATTACAGGCTATGTACTTAACCTTAGTAAAGAATCTTGCAAATATGTTGTTAGCCAGAAAGGCAGTCAACAGGTTATTAGTAGAGTAATTGTCAGTGTAGATTCACTAGAAATCAGTTTTAAATGTGCATAACTTACTGATGATTTCTTAATTTATTAATCTTTCTCTATAAAAAATGGTTAATTATAATAAATTCCCAGGGAAAATAATTATGTTAAATTATTATTTAACTTTAGTCTCATATAGGAGGCACTCTCTGCCTTCCTTAGGGAAAAAAATTGTTGAATATAAATTCATGATTAGTCCAGCTATATATCTGTAAGTATGTAAAAGTATATATACATACAAACACATACACATATATATCCTATGTGTATGCACCATCTTTGTATATCTATTCTTTGAAGTTATTATAGAAGCTTGTCAGAATATTTGACAATAAAAACAAGTTGTTAAAGCTTTAACAGTTTCTTCAAGGATTTCTTAAAGAGAAACAAATATTTCCCTTTTGTGGTAAAAGCACAAGATGGGCTTATATTAGGAATTATCAGTGAATTAGTTTTGTTATTAATGAATGAGTAAAATTTTTTTTGAGGAGTAATTTGGTGTCAGTCGCTAATACATAACACTACTGTAAAACACTATTTTATTGATTGATTAGCAGTGTTTATGGGCATTTGGAAACTAGTTTGGTAATTTAATGGGTATAGCATATCTTTGATACTAGAAGAGCTCAAGAATTTGTCTTTAATATACAAACTTCCATTAGTACTCATGTTTTATATTTCCTTTTTATACACTGTATCTTTATTTTCAATTGGAAATAAGATAGTTTCTATTACCATTAACAAATATGTACAATTAAGAGTTCTAGCTGCATGGAAACTAGGCTAGTGATTTAAAATAACTTTATTTGTGTCCTTGCACAACTTGAAATAAAAATCAAAACACAAATTAGTTGGTAAGATCTATCAAAAGAAAATTGTTGGCAATTTAAGTTGCTAAGGAAAACAGATAAAATGATTTAACTTACTCATTACTGTCCTCAGTTCTAAACTGAAAAATTCTTGCCATGGCTTATTAATTCTTGCTGTTATAAGGTTAATTCCAACTCTAGTACTTACTGATGAGTGGAAGCAGCAGTCCACAGAAGCTGGAAACAACATTCATGCCTAAGATGGGCATGGAAACAAGTAGTTATCCACCCACTGCATATAGCCAAAATCAGACTTAAAGCAGACGTGCAGGATGAGTGAATTTTCCCCAGGGGGCAGAGATAATAGTAGACTACAGTTTGTACAGCTGAAGCATTTTTTCCTAGTCTGTAAGTTGTAGATGACTTGAGCAGCTCAAATGTAGGGATGTTGTTTTTTTGTTGCCCGTCAGTGAAATCCAGAGGTTGCGTTCATCTATCAAATTATCAGCCCTGTCCTTTGAGAGGATACCATGGTAAATTGAATGGCTTGGGAATTTAGCATTTACACTCAATCTGTATGCCTGGGTCAGACATGGAGAAGCAGAGTTTATCCTGTTGATTAAAAGAAGGCATTTTATTATAGATAGCATAACCACACAACTTACCTTCTTATTCAGCATTTTTGAGAATGGCAGGGGTCATTATTAACAACAACTCTGTAAAAACTCTGAAATAAGACTGTCCTAGTGAGCCCAGTCTATATGGTCATTTTCATAGGGGTAATAAGGTTCCTTATTCTAACATTCTTTGCCTTTTAATGTAATCTTAATTTTCTTTCATCTGCTCAAATGAAAAACACTTTCTTTTTTCCCCCTAGAGTAACACACTATTAATAGTAACCACATAGACTTCTGAAGATTTAAAGTTGCTCCCATGCAGTCTTATATAAGATTTGCTTTGACTTTTCTAGAATTTTTGCAAAATCTTTTACTTCACTAGCCCTTTTGCTAAACCAGCTCTTCAAGGCTGCCCCTGCCCACCTCTACAGATACTGCATTAGGGAAGAAGAATCACACTGGATTTCTGTTTCTAAGAAAGGACAAAATATTTTAATTACTGTTGATATCCTTTTGCCCTGAATAAAAAATTCTTGCTGCAACTTGTTGATTTTCTTGTTCTCTAATCCATCCCCAGAGCTCATTGGATTGGGGCAAAACTGCATTGAGTCCAATAAGATAGTCACATTCACACTTAAGATAGAGATAGAAACGTTTTTCCATTAAAAAAGAGATGTAAGACAGAAGTTGTAGAAGAGAGAATTTTTCACATGGTGCAGAGGTGATACTTGACCACTCTTGGACAGTCTTCTACCTTCATCCTCAGCTGAAATCAGAATATGCTTTGGCTTTGGTGATGTCCTGTTCATGCTCTTTAGAGAAATTCCAAAGGAGAGATACTTTCCCTTTTGTTCTAATTAGTGCAGTGATGGTACCTATCTCAGAGGTCCCTGCACATTTTTTAAAGGCCCAGTGTGATATTAGAAGGTACATATGACTTGTCTTCTTTGCTAAACCTTGGCTAAACCTGACACTTTTGGGCTGATTCTTACTGGGTGGTTATTTTACTTTGTTTGATCACACTATAGTGGAGCCTTCTTGATCTTCAGTATATTCCCAGATCTTAATACTGGGATCAGAATTGGCTATCTAGACCCCCACATCACATCTGTCTCTTCCCACTAGTGCCTCCTGGGAATTCTTAATTATTCCCTTTTAAGTTTCAAATACATTGAAAAGGATATGCCAAGGAAATAGTGAACATTACAAATAAGGGGGCACAATGGGTGGGAGAAATTTAGGCAGACACAGGGGATTTGGATTAAAATCTGAGCTCTTAAAAAATATAATCAGACCTCTTGAGTTTCAAATGTCATTACTGGGACATACACATACACATATATAATACTTCCAGCCAAAGTCATATAGATTATCTTACTTAAGGTTAGAAAGCTAATCAGGGGTAGAGCTGTAATATACATCATTTTAATTCCAATTCTAAGGATATATATAAGCAGATTGACATGTAGATTGTAGGCAATTTCTATATCAGAATTATTCTTTGGACACTGAAAATTACCAATAGTTTTAGTTTGGAAGGGCCTTGAGGCTTTAGGTAATCAACTTGGAAATCATCACTGGCTATGATGTCATACATGTGTAATACACAAGTTCTTATTCTTCACAGAGTTATTGTAGATTCAGACTTTGAGGTTTTAGCCATGCTTACAATGAAAAGTAAGTCAAAAGTAAATCAATATAGACTTTGTCTTTAAAAGGATATCTGTCTAGAATTGGTTTTCTATGTTAAAGACTTATCCTGAGTATTTGGAACATCAATAGCAGCTGTTGCTTCTCAGAGAACCAGAACAAACTGTGGGGTCTTCAAAGGACCAGAGGCATCAAAGGCCATCCCCAACTAAGGCCTCCCTTTGAAGTAGTTTCATTAGGTTTATCTTTGAAAATAGGAATGATGATCAGTTTGCTGTTTATCCCATGAAACTAAAAGACACTCTGTGTGCTTCTCCCATTTTCCAAAATATTATATGCTTTAATTTTCTTTTTGTAGTCTTAGTTTCTACAAATGAGTTTACATTGTTAATCATGGAGTTATAAAGTGTACAATTCCATTCTGCATGATAATTGCTTTCACTTTGTAAAAGAACTCTTAGTTTTCAAAAATAATAAGGTTTACATAATGACATCTCAAAACTATTATAAGCAGAAGGTTGGTATTGTGTTTTATGCTTCATGGTTTTTGCCTTGTATTCTCAAGTAGCTTCATAGCCATTTCACTCACTTTCAGCTCCTTTATGGAGGTGCAGAAGAAAAATGTTTAATATAACCAATCTACATAGAAATTGTTAAGATTTGTGAGTATACTTTCATACTCATCTTAAGCAATCTCACAAAACTGTCCTTGAACCCTTAGGCATTTGTAAGTGTGATCTGTCACCTGGGTGGATGGAAATCCCCAAACCCCACTTATAAGTAACTCTCCCAAATACACCTACGAAATAGATTGCATCATTTGTTGAGAGTCACACAGTCAGGATGCAGTGGGGAAGATATGCTGTGGTAGTTTGCAATTTACCATGGAGGTAAGAAACATTTAGGGAATATGTTGGTGATTCTAATGTAACCAAGCATTCCCATACTTAACAAACACAATCAACCATTTATGGCAGGGAGTCAGAATTACAAAGGAGGAGAAGGCTCAGTACCTGCCTTCAAGAAGATCATGTATAACTGGAGAGGCACTGAGTACTGAGTGACTTGTTTTCTTTTAGAGCCACATGAGAACAAAGAGGTAGTAATGCTCCCTTTTGCCCAGGGGGAGAGGCAGGGAGGATAACCAAGCTGGGTCTTTGAAGGATTATGGCTAGGCTCTCTCCTGGCACATAAAAGAGACAGTTGTGAAGAAGGCGTGGTGCATTTTGGAAACTGCAAGTAGTTCGGTGACTAAAACTAGGGTAAGTGAGGGCATGCTGTGTGGTGAGGCTTGAAGGGAGAGAAGAGTGAGGGGGCATCACAGAAGAATTTTAAGCCAGAGAGTAGCATGGTCAGATTCATAATTTAAAAAGCCCCTTTTGGTTTTCAAAAGATAACAAATGGAAAGGCAGTGAAGCTGGGGGCAGCAAGACCCATTGGGAAGCAGCCACAGGATTCCAGGTGAGGAAGGTGAGGGCCTAGGTCGTGGCCGCAGAAATGAGGGACAGAAGTGGGAGAGATGTTGGTGGCAGAGTCGGTGGATTCTGGTGCCAGGGAGTCAAGTGAGTAAGATGTATGTCTTACCCTCAATTAATTCACAGTCTTGTTGGAAAACATATAAACTACCAACCTTGTAATGGAATGTTGTACTCCAAGTGCTACATTCACAGTAGGGTTCTCTCATTTTATGAGCCCTTGTGGGAAATGGCCATTTTGGTTTTCTCTGGGAAAATTTCCAACTGGAAGAGATTCAGGCCCAGTCATTCTTGATCTAGATAATTAGAAAAGGAAGGAACTTAAGATTTGAAAATACTAAGTACACCAACCATTTCGTCTACCGTTTTTTTCTCCGTAATGTACAGTAAAATTTGAAGAAAAAGGAGAGAAAGGAAACGTAGGCCCCAAAAACTGTAGTCTGGAGATTTCTGTGAGGAGGAAGACAGCTAGCGATGCATGTAGCAAGCTGACGACACCAAACTGCTACCCGCTTCAGTGTGGACTGACGCCGGGCACCGGCACTAAGACTGCAGTGTCCCTCTGCATGTCAGGGAGCGTGTTTGAGAAGGGTCAGCCGAGAATAGCAAATTCCCCCAAATCTTTTTCCACCTTATATACCCTAATTACTCTTCATGTCTGTCACCTCAGCAGAACCTAGGTGGCACATGAGCACAAATCAAAGTTATAAAGTGAAAACCATAATGTCCAAATGCAGAGTCAGGTAAAGAAAGGAAAAATACACATACTCATGTGTGTATGTTTGCAACTAAGAAAAATTAATTTACCAACATCATGTGAGACTGTAAAGAAGGAGATTCAGAAGTTTCTACCAAACAGGGGAGGGTACCTGGGAACAGTAGTCCCCATTATTACTAAACACTACAGTGTTTAAAGAGGTTTTTCTATTTTATTTAGTGTGCTGACTTTTTATTTTAGTAAATATAAATGTATACAAGAGATTTCATAAATTCACTTCTGACCATACTCACTAAAACTTGATTCCTATCAGGTCTTAAATTTGAAAATTGCAAATTCTACAGAACTCTCTCCTAAGAGTTTCTAAGGGTTCCATAGGTACAAATTTCTACAGGAACCCAGAAGAGCAAGAGATTCATTCTGCCCAGAAAGAAGAAATATGGGTGAGAGATGAAAGGGGAAGTGACATTTGAATTGGGCCTTAAGAATGAGAAGGATTTCATCAAAGAGGCAGTAGTAGAAAGGAATTTTGGGCAGAGGTAATGGCCTAATGGAAGCATGGAAATGTATAATATATTCAGGAACAGCAAGTAGCAGTTCAAGGTGACTAAGGCATAAGTTGGCTGGAGAGTAAGAGGAAAGGGTAAGAGCTGAAGGTAGAAATATTTGTCAGGGTTATTCTGTGAAAGTCTCCCATAAACTCAGTTGGACAATTCTACTTAATTTTTACCAGAGGTTGGATTTAAAACATTAGGCATGAATAAGGACTACTAAAATTGGAATTGTTCTTTTTCTTTTCAAAGATGGTAGTAATTGGTGAATTTTTTGGAGTTGATGGAACTACCCTGGAGGGTAATTTTCCCTTGAAAATTAGTAGTTTTTGTGGTAAGGAAATGTTTTAGGAATTGTTGATAATAGGTATACAACAACTTCCAACTGTAAAATGCCCTAGAAAGATCTAAATCTTTTTCATGTGTTTCCTTCATATTCCAGAAACAGTATTGGCAAATGTTCAGAAAAGGCAGAAATTTGCCAGGACATACTCTTTAAAGCCTTAACTCACCTCTTTATGGAAACAGTCTCACATGTCATTCAGAGTCTATTACTTGACTTTGGTGTCCATATGCATTATGTTATGAATTATATGGATGCTTAGAAAAAAATTTTTTTTTCATCTCTGTAACTTGTTCAAGTGCTATGTAATTTGACCTGGGTCACAATTTTGATATTCACCTTTCTTTCAGTTAAAGAATTTTCTTCCAGATTGTTATTAATACTTCCACAAGGGATTAGGAAACATTACAACATATAAGTTGAAATGCTTCATTGTTTTAGAAAACATAAATTCATGAAAATAAAAAGTAATGCTATTTATAGGCCTTAAGTTCATCCTACTCTCCCTTAAAATCAAATCCAGATATCATTCCAGCTAAGACCCTAAGAAAGTCAAACAATACAAGTGACAGGATCTTAAAACCACAGAAAATACCATTGTTGGTATCAAATCAGGTATAACAGTTTAAGTCTGGTTGGAGTTGGAGAACAGATTTCAGAATGGAATATAGGACCTTTTGCTAATTGGTTATTAGTTTAGAGTTACCCCCAAATTAATGATTACATTTCAAAATCCAAAGCTTATTCATACACCCAAATATACTGCTTTCCCTTTCCCTTAATTGCTTAATTTGTTGAAGAGGAGAGAGTTAGTAATGGTCAGATTTTTCCAAA